TTGAGTTGACCGGCCCCAAGCAATTCATTAGTAGTTGGTTTTACTCGTCACGTTCCATCATCTGGATTCGAACACAGGTCTGTATTTCAACAGTTCATGGGTGTACCCACCGAGCTAGGCTCTTGGGTAACTGCTCATCATTTCTCCCAAACTATATCTGGTATGTCCAAAATGCTCACTCATCATTTCTCCCAACCTAAATCTGGTATGTCCAAAATGCTCATCACTTCTCCCAACCTATACCGGCTGTCCAAATCGGTTCTGATCATGTACCAAAATTTGGTTTGATGGTCTGTCCCATTGAATTTTCGTTTGTCCAAATCGCTTCACCTCGATCCTAACTTACCTGGGGCCAAGCCCCACTTGGGTGATTCTTCATTTCTGGTCGTTGATCTTGAGAATCAACGGTCAGAAATCAAGAATTCGGATAAGTGGGACTTGGTCCCTGGTCAAAGGAGGCCAAGCTAAAAACGTTAGGAGGGCTGTTTCATAGGAGATCCACTGACTGAGGGCCTGCGTATAGCCACAACCACACTCGGAATGTGAAAAAGACAAAACCTATGGCAGCTGTATTTTTCTATGATTTTGCGCAAGGTACATGCTCCATTTTGCATATTCTGGGACTGGTGTGGCGAGGCCCTCTGTCATCAGGCGCCTGACCCCTCCATAAACATTCTGCATGTAGTCCACTACCCGGGGATGATACATGCAGTATATATCGTCAAGCAGAACTGCTCGGTAAACCGTCGGCAGAGAGCGAGACGAAGGCAATTAATGAGCGAGACGAAGGCAATTAATGCTGGCAGGAGTTTCATGTATTTTAAACTCAATCTTTAAAAGGGACGCTGGACCCGCTTTCTAGCAGGTGATGCTCCCCACCAATAGATGGAGCCTCAAAAAAAAAAAAAAAAAAAAAAAAAAAAAAGAGAGGGAGAAGAGGACAACAAACGTCGGCAGAGGGACGACTCGGTGAAACTTCGACGAAACAGTTTGTCACAGCCCCTCGTTTGTTGTCCTTCGTTCTTCTTCTTCTTTTTTTTATTTTTTTTATTTTTTTAATTTGGACCATTTCTCGATTTACCGACGGGGTTTAACGGACAGTTCTCTTTGACGATATATATGTGGGTGAGTGATAGTCTGCCTTGATTATCGTAACAGGTACCTTGAGGGTAGTGGTTGGTGCCCACCTCCTCAGAGGGGTATCAGTTGTCGGGCAGTCGTTGATGCTTAACCACGACCGGGGTCAAGGTGGATTATCACTGTCGGGGGTTCAGCCTCCTGATGAGTCGGTGAAACTCCGACGAAACAGTTTGTCACAGCCCCTCGCTTCTTGTCCTCTTCTCCCTCCCTCTCTGCCTACCGTTTACCGTAGGCAGCTCTGTTCGACGACATATACATGTCTTTCTTTTTTTTTCTGTAGTTGGCCTCGTCGCCCTCTCTGCGTACAGCTGCCCGCCGGCAGTTCGCTGTGATGATAGCCTCTACTGATTGATGAGTCGGTGAAACTCCGACGAAACAGTCTTGTCTCAGGCCCTCGTTTGTTTTCTGTCCTCCCTCGAAGACTATGGTTCACCTGGGAGTTTTCTGTGTCGATATCTATATGCATATGTAGGCTAGAGGTTTTGAACAGGGGGAGTTGTAAGGAAGAAGATAAAAAATGATTTGATTTTTTCTTGTATTTTTTTTTTGGGAATTTTCTTTTTGGGAATTTTCTTGTATTTTTCGCTTTTGCGCTCTGATATCTTTGGGACGATATATATAAAATGAATTGATAACTTCTTTGTTCCCTTTGTTTTTGTCGCTTTTGCGCTCTGAGAACTCTGTGACGATACCTCGTTTGTTGTCCTCTTCTCTCTCTCTGCCTACGGTTTACCGGACAGTTCTGTTTGTGACGATATATGCGTCTCCTTTGCTGCTTTACTCTTCCCCATGGTTGGGGTATTTCGTTTTGCGGACCTACTGTATGGTTCCGTTTTTTTACTATGTATATGGCAGATTTTGTTCTGGTTATCCCGGATGGTTTTGTCCTGTTGTTCGGTCTATTGGCGTGGCAGCGTAGCGGTGCTTTAATTTGGGACTAATCATCCGGGTTCTGGATATGGTAGATTTTTTTGGTTGTCACACTGTGGATCGGAGTTTTTTTGGTAACCTTGTCTGCATCCCGGTTGGCTCTGTCCCGTTGTTTGGTCTATATTGGGAGAATGGTAGCGGTGCTTCATGTGGGATCGGTCATCCGGGTTCTTCTTTTTTTATCGTCTTGGGGTATCCTGGTTGGCTGTTTCCCGTTGTTCGGCCTACACGGGTGGCGGTGTTTTTACGAGGGAATCGTCATCTGGGATTGTTTTCTTTTTTTTGCAGATAAGGTGTTTTTTGCTTCAGATTCTTTTTGCTATGGATATGGTAGAATTTGTTCTCTGGTATTCATTTATGTTGAAAATGGCCTGGCTCATCGTTCAACCATCTCATAGTTCCCGTGTCTTGAATCCTGGCTGGTTTGTCCCGTCGTTTGGCCTGTGCTGTCGGGGGCGGTGTCTGCATGTGGGACTTGTCATCTAGGATTCGTTTGCCCCCTGTTCTGTAATGTTTGGGTGTTTTTTCTCTTTTCTTTGCCTCTTCGCCTTTTGGCTGTGTGCAAGTGGGTCGATATGACACACGGGTGTGGGGGCAGCAGCCGCTCAACCTACATCCACGTGGGCGGCCTTGTACGCAAGAGGTTTTGAACAGGGGGGAGTCTTGTAAGGAAGGAGATAAAAAATGAATTTATTTCTTCTTTTTTTTCGCATTTGCGCTCTGATAAATTTGTGACGATATATAGATATATGAAAAAATGTACGTATCCACGTGGCCGGCCTTGTACGTAAGAGGTGATGAACAGGCGGAGCTTTCCTTCCTTTCCTGTTTTGTTTTTTGCGCCTTTGCGCTCCGATACACGGTGTGACGATATATATATGTTTGACGTTATATATTGAACAGGGGGAGTTGTAAGTAAGAAGATAAGAAATGATTTGATATTTTTCTTGTTTCGTTTTGTTTTTTTTTGCTTTTGCGCTCTGATATCTTCGTGACGATATCTCTGAGGATCCTACACAGACATATGTTGGTTTCCTGCGGATTGCCCTCTAATTTGCTTGTGATGGGGTGTGAACCGACAGTCTGTAGAGTTGTCCATCTGGTGTGGGTGAGTGATAGTCTGCTTCGACTTTTGCCACAGGTACCTTGAGGGCAGTGGTTTGTGCCCACCTCAGGGTATCAGTTGTCGGGCAGTCGTTGATGCTTAACCACAGCCGGGGTGAAGGTGGATTATCACTTACAGTGTAATCAGTTAGGGGATTCTGCAGACTGTTGAGGGTTCAGCCTCCTGATGAGTCGGTGAAAGTCCGACGAAACAGTTTGCCACAGCCCCTCGTTTGTTGTCCTCTTCTCCCTCTTTGCCTACGGTTTACCGGGCATCTCTGTTTGACGATATATATGTAGTGGTGTGTTTGGATGCGACTTAGGTATGTCGTAAGACTCCTTGTGTAACAATTCCCTAAAGATTATTTTATCGTTGTCAGAAAATAAAATAAAAAATTATGTGCTTCCCAAATGTGACCAGGATTCGACAGGGAGTTTTCTTTGCTTCTTTTTCTTCTAAGGAACAGTAACGCACCTCTCCTCAAATGCACAAAAGACAGAAGAGATGGCGGTGTATCATTCCATGTTCTACTGGAAGGTTCATTATCATTTAGCACAGTTCGTAAGTGGTGGGTCGAGACACGCTATCTCGTTGTGGACTGGGATGAAGGTCATCGAAGTAGTTGCCTGATGGGTGGGTGATTAGAGTGGCTGAGCTTTATGGTCTAACAAGATTGACGGAGGGCATACTCACACTTGGGACCTTATCGACTAAGTTGTGGACGGGATTGAGGCCAGATACACCAAGGCCGGTCCTGATGGCAGTCAGATACATCCAGAGGGTGAGTGGGTGAGCTTTATGGATAAGATTGATCGAGGGCATACTCACGACTAGGATCTTTTCGACTAGGCTCTGGACGTGATTGCAGCGAGATGCATCCAGGGCCGGAATGATAGGCAGATACATCCAGAAAGGGTGATTAGAGTGGGTGAGCTTTATGGGTAATATTAATTGAGGGCATACTCACGACTAGGACCTTTCCGATGAAAATCTGGACGTGAATGCGGCCAGATACACCCAGGGCCGGTCGTAAAAAAGGCTAGTGGATGAAGTTGATGCTCGACCCCAAAAAAGAAACAATAAATGGTTGATGCTACCGTCGTCCCTGGGGAATAGAACGTACGGTCGTCATTATGCCTGTATTGAAGGCAATCTTCAGTCTAGATACAGCAATAATGCGGTAGAGGCTGCCTGCTTCGCTGTCCATTCCATACGTACGTATTGAGGATAGACCGCAGGGGAACAACCGCCCTTTTTTTTCTGTTTTGTTTTTTCGAAACACGGTGCACTTTATTACCAAATACTTGAGTTTTCGATCGCATATATATAGGTTTCATTTTTCTGGTGGATATCAATCCTTGTTGTTCTTCTTCTTCTTCTTCTTCTTCTTCTTCTTCTTCTGGTCGATGGAGTTTTTGGTGGATATCAATCCCTTGTAAGGCGGATCCGAGGAGAAGGCCTTCTTCTTCTTCTTCTTCTTCTTCTTCTTTCTTCTGGTCGATGGAGTTTTTGGTGGATATCAATCCCCCGTAAGGCGGATCCGAGGAGAAGGCCCTGATGAGTGCCAGGTGCGCTTCCTGGCTGAAACGTGCGTTGGGCAATGAGCGCGTTTCTTCTGAGCTCAGTGCGTGCGGTTGAGCATGGAAATTTCTGTTGAAGCATGCACGAAGGACAGTCTATGGCCTCTGTTTATCACTATTCTTCTTCTTCTTCTTCTTCTTCTTCGTTCTGGTCGACGGATATCAATCCTCGCCCATCTTTGTCATGGATTCGTGGTGGATACGGTGTTCACATCGCAGAGATAGCCTCCTCGTGGTCGCTGGGTTTCGGGAACACCTGACTACATTTATGTCGTCGTTCGGTGAGAGAGCGAGAGAGAGGTAAGACAGGGACGACGAGCGTCGTATATTGACATGGTGGGTTGATGTGGTTAAGAGGCTTACTGGCTTGCTGAGCGACTTAAAACGATTGTGATGATGTGTAGTTGACTGGAGTTGAAGTGAATGAGCTTTGGCAGTGCGTCAATCTTTGGCTCTAACTCGATCCGATTTGGCTGTGCGTTGATTACTGATGACATCTTTGTGGACGAAGCTTTTTGGAGCTATATAGAGAATCTTTTGTATGTGAAAAAAAAAAGTTGAGATCAACGGTGGTTCGTATCTTGGAGTTTGAGAAGACGACCGCGAGCAAGCGACACACAGAGATAGATAGATAGATAGATAGATAGATAGATAGAGATAGATAGATATAAAGATAGATAGATAGAGATAGATAGATAGAGATAGATAGATAGATAGATAGATAGAGAGAGAGAGAGAGAGAGAGGATGACAAGCAAGTCTCAAGCAAGGGGCAGGAGAGGGAAGCCAATCGACAACGCGGGAATCCCGACGTGTGATNTGATGGGATAGAGAGAGAGAGAGAGAGAGAGAGAGAGAGGATGACAAGCAAGTCTCAAGCAAGGGGCAGGAGAGGGAAGCCAATCGACAACGCGGAAATCCCGACGTGTGATGGGATTGGATGTGTTAAACCACTCTTGGAGTAGATATCGACATTCTCGAGAAAGTGGAGCGCCGATTTTGGCATCATCTTGTTTCTTGGTTTTCTTTGTTTTTTTTTTCGTGTTTCTTGAAGCTGGCTGTTGCGTCCAACTCGACGATGATACCGAATTAGAGCGAAAGGAAGAAGGGAGGAAAAAAAAAAGGGAAGAGAAAAAAAAGAGAAAACGAGGAGCGAAGAAGCGACGAGGATTGTCCGGAGAAAGGATCGTCTCGACGTGAGGAATGAATGGCGGGCATTGATTTTCTGCCTTGTCGTGATCGCAGGTGGACCTTTTTCTCGTTCTTCGATTGTGATAATAATTACGTAATAGCAGGCAAGTCAGAAACCAACAAAATAAACAAAAGTCAGACTGGTCAAAAACCCGAAAACAAACAAAAGATAGACAGGTAAAAGCCTCGACAAAAAGCATTCAAGTCCTTGTCGTTGTCAAGCAGAAGCATTTTTGTGCGTGTGAATGAGGAATACGGTGAATTTATGTGTGTGTGTGTGTGGGAGAGAGAGAGAGAGAGAGAAGGGGTGGGAGAGCGGAATCTGAACTTGTGGTGTCATACGGACTGGAGGACCTGTTGGGTGATCGGAAGAAGTATCCAGATCTGGTTGCTGGTTGGTCGAATCGGATGGCTCGTAACTTTGTGATCGATCACAAGAGTTGGAAGCCGACGGTTTTATTCCATGTTCGTTTTTTTGTCGGTTCTGCGAAGCTTTGACCAGTATTTGATGGAAGCGCCAGAAGCTTGATTTGATATTTGCTAGGTTATTTACAGTATGTATTATTTATACGTGTTCCATCCTTCTTGTTTCGTTGTGTGTGTAGTGATTGATAGAGAGCAATCTGGATCCGGGCACTCATCGAGAGAGAGAGAGGGGGGACGGGGGGGGCGGGGGGGGAGGAAGCTGGGCTTCGCTTGGAAAGCGTGCCCGATGCTGTCGGGCATGATCGCCGGCGAAGCGAAGGATGGCGGGAAAGGCGAAGTGATCGTGATGGATAGGGCGTTGATTTGGCGGGAAGGGAAGAAGAGTAATTCTGGCAGGGCGGGAAAAGAGTAGTAGTAGTTGGAGGAGGAGTTGGAGGAGGAGGAGGAGGTTTTTAAAGAGGCGAGCATGACGGATATGGCGGCCACAGCAGCAGTAGTTGTAAGAGGGAGAGATGGGAGGAAGGGTCAAGCAGTTGATGAAGATGATGCTTTCGTGACCATTTCTGATGATGAGGATGATAATGATTCCGGGCTTATGTGTGATGAAGATGAGGACGCTGCGCCTCAGTCGCCGATCGCACCGTCGATGATAACTCAGGATCTGGATCTGGACGGCGGCGGCGGCGGTAAGGATCTGTACGGCGGTTTGGGCTTCCCTTCTTCTGCATCTTCAGGTTCTGGCTGTCCTGGATTGCCTTCGTCTGCGTTTTGTATCATTGACGTTGACGTCAGGAAGTGTGATGATGGCGATGGTGATGATGATGATGATGACGGCTGTGATGAACAGGAGCGCGCGGGAGCGGCGGACGTCTTGGTGACAGGTTTTTGTGAAGAAGATGAGGAGGGTGAGTCGAAGGATGATGAAGACGCCTTGTTGAACAGTGATCGTGGAAAGAGAGAAGGGAAGCTTGAGGAACCAGGGAAGGGTAGGGGCGAGGGGAGAGAGAAGGCCAATGGTGAGGGGAAGTGTGAGGTGGGTGGGAATTGGAATCCCTGTACTGATAACAAGGAGCATCGGTATGCGGCGGGGTCAATTTTTGTTGACGAAGCCACGTGTAGTAAGCCGTTGAGTCTTGTGGGGGGTCGTAGGGACGACATCGACGTGTTGGGTTGCGTTGGGAGGACCGTCCCGACTCCCTCCTCCTCCATCCCCTTGGGGGGAGCGGAGCGCATCTTTTCCTCTCTGATGGCGGCAGGAGCATCGAGTGACAGTGACGGCAACATGAAGTTATTGTTGTCAACGAAAAAGAAGCACTCGGACGAGGAGGAGAGTCGGGCGTTGTATAGCGCGTCTTTGTGTAGCGCGGCGGCTTTGTGTCAGCGTTCTTTGGAGGGAAAGGAGGGCGTTCCTCCTATTTCTGTGGGATTTCGAGGAGGAGGCGCGGGGCTTGTGGTGCAGCATCAGCAGGAGGAGAAGGAGGAGGAGGAGGTGGTTGGCGGGGGCAGCGGGAAGTGTTCGCCGGTGGTGGTTGACTCCAACAGATCATCTGGGTCGGGATTGATCGTTGATGGCGATGGTGATCCATCGAAGGATAAGATGGGGGGGAAGGCGTCGGACGTGCTTGATGATGACTCAGCAAGAAGAGCCGGCGGGGGGGGAAGAGGAAGGGTGCGAGCGGGGGGGGCAGGCGGAGACAGGACACGAGGAGGCTTGGCCTCGGCGACGGAGACGGTGAATAGGGTATGGATCGTGGAGCATGCAGGCAAGGATGGGTGGCGTGCGAAGGAGGAGGAGGAGGAGGGAGGGGGAGAGGGAGAGGAGAGGGAGGAGAGGGAGGAGAAGTTGTGGAGTTGCAGAGCGTGTACTTTCGACAATACCCGAGATCGAAGGCGATGCGAGATGTGTGACTCTCCCGTTCCTCCCGAAAAGGTGACAAGGGGGAAACGGAGCGTGACGGGAAAGAGAGGAGGAGGAGGAGGAGGAGGAGGAGAAGAAGGGAAAGGAGGGAGCGGAGGAAGGGGCAGGGGGGTGATGATGAAGAAGATGTGTGGAGAGGTGGGCGGCGGCGCTGCTGCTACGTCGTCTTCCTCCTTCTCTTCCTTATTGCAGTCCTCTGCCCTGCAGCAGCAGCAGCAGACCTGGACTTGTCAGATCTGCACACTCGTGAACGACAAAAAGCGCAAAGCTTGTGCGGCGTGCGACTGGCACCCGCGTGTGGATGGTATCGCGCTTGCCGCCGAGGTCCCAACTGTGGCGGCGATGGCGATGGGTCTTCTTGATCCCTATCCCAATCCCAATAGCAATTACCCCAGAGGAGGTTGGCACGAAGGCGGTATGGGTTCCGAAGCTGTGGAGAAGGACGAGAGGGAGGAGGAAGGGCTGGGGAGCGGAATGATGGGAGCAGCAGGAGGTCATCAAGCGAGTGCCAGCGAGGTGACACGTGTCGCCAGCCGCCGTTTTGGCGGGAACAGCGTGTTCTTCGTCGGCGGGGGGTTACAGGATTGGGATGAACGAGTGCGGTGCAGAAGTTCTTCAAAGCTGTCTTTGAGAGAGCAGGGCAAGGCGCTTCTGCCATCCGGACGGCGAGCAGGAGGTGTTGGTGAGGGAGGAGGAGGAGGAGGAGGAGGAGAGGGAGCAGTTGCGGGAGCCTGGTTTGCACAAGATGGAGTGGACGAGAAGGAAGACGCCATAGCCAGATTCAAGAAACATGCGCATGAAGACTCAAAAGTTAGGTGGGGGATAGAGAAGTCCTCAGGGAGGTTGAGATTGGATACCAGCTCTGATCTGACCTGCAAGAAGAGCGTGGGAGAACCTGTGGTGGCTGGACTCGATGGCAGAGATATAGAGGAAGCCATAGCCAAGATCGAAGCAAACGATAGAGAGGAAGCCATAGCCAAGATTGAAGCAAACGCCATAGCCGCAGTCGATGATGACTCGGCGGCAAATAGGGTTGCTGAAGAAGCCGCCATCGCCAGATCGAGAGAGAGAAAGGAGGAGGAAGGTAGTGTATCCCGGTGCAACGAGGACAATGTCCAACCCATCAATAAGAAAGGGCATGGAAGAAGGGGAGGGGTCGGCGATGGAGGATATGGGAGAAGGGGAGAGAGAGAAAGAGGTGTTTTTTCCGGTCGAGGACGAGAACAGAAATCGGCGGCGGTTGTTATTGATTTAGAAGAAGACGAACAGGCTTCGGGAGACACGCGCCACGATGATAGTGGTGCAGGGGCTACAGTGGTGGCTGCTTTGCCGACGTCCTCCTCCCGGCTTCTGGATTATGAAGATGTTGATGACCAATACGTGGGAGCAAATGGTGAACCGACCACCTCCGGAGGTATTATTATTATGCAATACGTAGCAGTCAGCTGCTCCTTCAGTGGTGGGACGGGGGCAAAGGAGGGAGGGGGGGAGGAGCGTTTTTTTTTTGTTTTTTGTGAAAGAAAACTGTTTTTTTTTTGTTTTTGAAAACCGTGCTACATTCGTCTCTCAAATATTTCATCATCTTTCAAATTCTTTCAATTCACCTAAGGCTTATACAGGGGACCCCTGCGAACATAGCTTTGTTGTCTCCCTCGGGCCATCAGAGGGGATGCATGTTGTCCCCCGCGCCAACCGTGGTGGTCAAGGATCATTGTATTTGGTGGAAAAAGTTCTGTTTTTTTCAATTTTTTAGAAAGAAAGCATTTTAATATATTTATTTTTATTTATTTTTGAAGCATACCATTGTATTGGCTGGGAATTTTTTTTTTTTTTTGCAATATATATTGTTGGAAACCGAGTCCAGCGTTCGTAATGTCGAAGAAATATTTCTCACACTGTTTTTCCTTCTGTCATGGTCGAGGGACGTTTCAATATATGGTGGCGATGCCCCACAGCAAGGGGGGGGGGGGCCCCCCCCTCCTGACCAAAGGGAAAAAAGAAAAAAAAAAGCTTATATTCCTCATTTAAGAAGAAAAGGGAGAGAGAGAGAGAGAGACACTTATTCGACTGTTTTTTGAGAGAGAGAGAGAGAAAGAGGGGGGGGGGGGGGGGGGGGGGGGGGGGGGGGGGGGGGGGTGGTAGGCGGGTCCGATGATTTCTTAAGTTGGCAAGTTTTTCATTTTTTGTTCGGTCGTTTGTGTGTGAGTGTCGCGACGAAAATTTCATGACTGGGAAATAGATGCAGTGGCTCATATTTTCTTTGTTTATTCTGAAGCTTCTTCTCTGGTTTTTTATTTTTAGTGAATTGTATTTCCATTCTTTGTATAGGCGACAAAATTAGCATTATACCTAGGCTACCAGCCTGGCTGCCCGGTTCACCTTTTTTTCCCGGGCTGCCCGGCCGTGCAAGGACCAAAGAAGTTCCCAGCAAAAGAAGAAAAAAAAAAACTCAAAAAATCTGAAAAAGAAAATGTTATGCAGAAAAATAAACTGATCAACTTTTGCCTCGGGGCCACTTTGAAATTCTTTATAAAATAAAATAAAATAAAATAAGAAGTATTTATTTTTGTTTTGATTTTTATTTTATTTTTGGCCAGGCCGGGCAAGTGGTCCGGGCCACTCTGGTAGCCTAGCATTATACATACAGAAATATACAAAAGAATTATCATTGAAAAAAAGTGGAGGAGGATTAGGAAAGAAGTGAAACTGGATAGCAATTATTGCAAATGAAATTGAATTAATTGGTAATTTATTCATTATGTTCCGAGTATGATTATCAAAAAAATTCTGCATCTCCCGTTGGCCTCATGTGCCATCCTGGGCAAGCTTGGCGCCCGCCATCTAGAGATATGCCGTTGGTGCCCCCGAGTGGCATTGAACTGCTGATGTTCATAGGGGGAGGGGACCCAAGGGAAGGCACAGTGACTGGCCCATCGAAGAAGCTCGGTCCATATGCTACCGGCTGCCCCCTGGCTGCCCCCTGGCCGGTATCGCTCACCTGCTGTAGCAGTCATCGCACCTGCTGGTGGGTGCAGCTCCCGCAGTTCCATCATTGGAGGCTTGAGCACGGACGTGGCTGCTACGGGGTTCCCCGTAATACTATAATGACAATAAAAAAGGCCTGGAAGGCCGTCCTGTCCAGATTTGACAGGTAATTGAATTGGTTGGGCTTAAAGAATTAGCCTTAAACCACCACTACCTCCGATCCAGTTTTTGCGGATCCTGAATTTCACTGCGCACCAAGTTTTGCAGATGCATTCTACTAGGGTCAATGTGACTGTGCCCTTACTGAGGGGGTCTGTCTACTCAACAGCAAACAAAAAAGGAAAAGGAAAAAAAAGCATCCTTATGCTGGTTCCGGTCCGATACACGGCGCTACACTACCAGTGTGAGTAGGAGGAAAGTAGGGCAGTTAGCCCCGTGGAAAACGCCCTGCCTCACTGGCAGGGCACCAGAAAGACTTGCAAAGAAAGTTAAAAAAAATAAAGAACTTCAGCACCTCCATTCCACACGTAGTGGCCAGATACAAGCACTCGTGTGAGGGAAAACTCCGTGAGGGTGTTCCATGATGTAGGTGGAAATGAAATTATTTAGTTTTTTTCCTTTTTTTTTTTTGTTTATTTGTTTTCAAAGAAGGCTGCCGTGCCTGCCCAGATGCGTCAGACTCTGACGAGCAGGATATTAGATGGACTTCGCGTTTGCCTGTGAAAGGTAGTGTAAAAATAAATCTCCAAAAACAAAAATCTGTATCATGGAAAGAAGTCTTGGGATGTTATGGGGTATTGGGCCTCACTCCTCACCATATGCACAAAGACAAAATATATGGCGGTGCATCTTCCCCTGATTTAGCGGAAGATCCGTTCTCATTTTGCGCACTGGTTAGTAGTGAAGTCAAGCGTCTTGAAGGAATGCGGAAAATCAGTAAGTGAGTATAAGGACGGAATTTGGGTCAGATACATCCAAGACGGCTTTTATGGACCAGGTCAGACCACACCGGGCTGCGGTCAAAACCAAACCATATTCGGTTTTTTCTTTTCCAATGTAGGGCTAGGACTTTTTACGTATTTCTGAACGGAATCGTGCGGTTGGATAGATCCAAGTAACGGTCCGATAAATTCAAGATTGTGCTAGTGTGAGTATGTAGGTACAGAAAGGTGCAGAAAGGTGTGATGACAATATGGCGTCAAACATTGTAATGGCAGCATCTTGCATGAAACACGCGGTGTGATTGTTCATAATGACAGTGTCTTGCATGAAGCACACGGTGTGATTGTTCATTACGCACAGAAAAAATACACCGACGAACGCAGTAAGGGCCTCGCCACAGCACTCTCGAAATGTGAAAAAGACAAAAATGTGGCGGGTGCGATTGTTCATTATGCAAAGAAAAAATACACCGACGAATGCAGTAAGGGCCTCGCCACAGCACTCTCAAAATGTGAAAAAGACGAAAATGTGGCGGGTGCATCTGGCCGTCTCTGAGCAGGAAGTTCATTCTCATTTTGCACATTTCGAGAGTGGTGTGGTGATGCTCCAACTCATCCGGTAGGGTAGGGTTGCAAAAACACAGTGTGATTGTTCATTACACAAGTTAAAAAAATACAAAGACGAACGCGGTAACTCATCCCGTGGTGTATGGCAACCCTGACCGGTTTCGGTCACCGCCATGCCCCATGCAACCTCCCTTCAGAGGGCTTGCCCGCCAGTCTTTGGGTCTCGCTCCACTACTCTCGACCTTCACAAAAGACAGAAGTCATGGCGGTGTATCTTTCCATGCTCTAGCGGAAGATTCACTCTCGTTTTGCACATGTCGAGAGTGGTGGAGCGAGGCCCTTTCACCCTACATTCACCTCTTCGTCTCATCAACCCGCCGCCGTAGTTGATACTCCATCCCTTCAGAGGGCTTACCCCCACCAGCTTTCACCCTACATTCACCCCTTCAACTCACCAACCCACCGCCAGAGTTGGAGTCGAACTAGCTGAGGACCCGAAAGGACCGAAACTACTAGCACCCATCGTGGTTATAGGGCATTCTACCAGTAACCCGTTGTTCCCATCCAGTAGCACGACTCAATTCTGCCTGGTCCAGATATTTTGATAACTTGTAACATAACTTCGGTGCCTATGCTGATAGTTAATTCTTGGCCGTTGATCTTCCTAACCTATGGTTGGAAATTGAGAATTCGGGTAAGTGGGACTTGGCCTCGGGTATCCGTGTACCAAAGTCTGCCTCCCGCTCTATGGTACTTACCGAGTCGCTTCTCATGTTCCCTTGTTGTGCCAATGGCTAGTTCTGCCCGGGTCCAAGTCCTGTCTCGTACTTGTACTTTTTTCATACCATGCACAGATTGAACCCGCTTTCCGAAACAAATCCCCTTTGGGAACCCAGCCAATTTTTATTCGTCTTTTCCTGGTTCTAAACCAGCCCCAGTTCGACGTATACCCCTGTCCGAATGTCCCACCTGTCCACTCTCACCATTGGTACACACGTAAACCACCAGTCTACCCAACACCGAAAAGTGGCATTCCGGTGAGTTCGGGGCGGGTCTTTAGGGGGGGTGCCAACCAGCAGGCGCAGGTGGGTCCAGTCCTGCAGTTTTCACATTTAACTTTGGCGAGTTTTCGTGCTCAGAAAAATTAGGAAAAAAATCTGAAAATTTGAGATCCTGTAGATTAGGTTGTGATATTTCCAGGAAATATATCAAAACAATGGGAAAAAAATCATTTTGCCCATGAAATAAATGCTGCGCCAATCTGTCACATTTTTTGTTTTTGCCACTCTACATCTTGTGGGCCAACGGGAAAAGTACCCCAATTTTAACGATTTTTCATGCGCAGATGAAAATTGGAGGGTTGGTAGATTTGGTTGTGATCTTTGCAGGAAAAATATTTGCGAGGGTGTATGCCTCGGCATAGGGACCTGCAGCAGGTGCGTGCCCGCCCTAAGTGAACGCGGCCCCCTTTATCTCAATGCGCCCTGAACTTGTCAATTTTGCAAATCTTGGTCGGCGCCAGACAGTTGCCACGCGCCAGTTGGTTGCAATCCGCCTTGCTCGTGAGAATCCAAAATATTTGTGAGCCTTCCAGGCTCTTCCAGCAACGTGGTCGAAGCAGGGAGCATCGCACGTTTCTGCCTGGGTGGTTGGGCATGCCAACCAATTCGGTCCCAGACCACTGTCTGAATCGGGCCTGGGCGCAGACACTTTGGCCGAGACTGAAGCTACTGGGAACTCGGTCGGACATGGGGGTAGCAAAGGCAAGCGCCCGCCTCTTTCCATATAGGAAAGGGCAGGGCACAGGGCGAGGTAGTCGGGCACTTGCAAGCACATGCGACAGTGCTGCTGGAGCTAGCGCTCGCGGGGCTGCTGCTGTGCTAGTGTGGGCAAGTGTGCGCGCGCCTGTACGAGGAGGGCACTGCTAAGGGCAGCGGCATAGCCAGCCCCACGTAGTTGGGGCTCAGCTTGGACATAGCCAGTGGGAGGAGGTGGTGATCTTCGTGTATGAGTGAGAAGACGTGGGCGATGAAGTCAAGGTTGAGAGAGAGAGAGAGAGACAAGGTCGATGATCTGAGGGCACGTGCCTGGTCTTGGCGATGGTCTACAAGGGTCGACATCTTCATGCAGTTCGGCTCTGTTGCTGACGTCAACAGGATGCATTGCCAATTCGTAGGCTGCTAGTAGCTGTGTAGAAGTAGTCTAGGCGCTGAGTGCCAAGTAGGAGGAAGGACTCTGCATACATATGTTGGTGGTGACGAGAGCATGCTCTCATTGACATTCGGATTCAGTGCTTTGTTTCTCCGTTGGTGGAATATCAGTGCATTACTGCTTTTTGGACAGCTTTTCGGCTTGCGGGCTTTCAATGCAATTTTTGCACTGTGGATTCCTGTCATTTCGTTATACCTTATTTACCTTGCATATTGAAACGGTTTTTACCTTACGGCAGCAGATGCAGTTCCCAGGCTCACTCGTGCCTAGGAGGCGCAGCTGCAGATTTTGCATTGTTACTGGCTAATTAGGCAGGTTGCGGTCGTGATATGGTGACATACTCGAAGAGAACTGCTCTCAAGACTTTCGTAGATGCACTGCGTAACTGCTTCGAAGATAAAACTGAAGCCATGAGGACCGCTGACAAGCTCAACAATATCTATCTGAGTGTGTCGACATTAAAGGCTAGGATGGATGACCTGTTGCAGACCCCGGATCATGGTCTGACTCCCGAGCAGATTCTGAGCAACTTTGGTAGAGCTCTTCCCGACCCCATCAAGAGAAATCTCTATGCTAAGGTAAACAAGGATGGCATGACCTATGAGCAGTTTAGCAAGATGGAAGTGGATCAGGCTGGTTTTTTCCAGGAAGCAAACTGTCATTGGTACGGTGATTTGGAGAAGGGGAAGAGTTGGAAAGGTAAGACCGTTTTAGGAAGTATTACGGGCAAAGACAACCTGGTAGTGATGTTTGGAGGAGGAGGTTGTGAAACTCTTAACTTATGACCAGATCGAGTATGGATTGGATGAGGACAATGGTGGAGCCTAGGGAGGTGATTTCGCTACTGTGGTCCATGGGGGAGGACGAGGAGGAAGAGCGGCTGAGGTAGAGGAGGCTGTGGTTGGGTTGGAAGAGGACATGGCTATCATAAGGAGTGCAGCAATGGAGGTTGTGTAAAGGGAGGTAGGGGTTATGGACCCCCATGCGGCAGCATAGGCCGAGCCCCCCAACAGCAAGGGGTAGAGGCAGTTACACCCTTGCCAACGATGGCGATCCAAGAGGTAGGGGAAAGGCACCATGCAGGTACCCATGGCACCAGGACGTGCAGGGGGAGAACCATGGAAGAAATTGAACATGCCCAATGACTTGTGGGCCAAGAGGCTCTGAGAGGGGACCTGGATCAAATGTGGAGAGGCAGGTCATATTATCCCGTGGTTCCCTGAGTTGAGATCACCGTCAAAAGGCAACATCTGGCAGGAGTGGTAGCTGCTCCTACTGGGGCCTTGGGTACATCACAAGAAGCACATGCTGCAAGAGAAACCTCCAACCCGAGGAACCCAATGATAAAGGCTGATGTAGACCTCGACCTAGATAGTTGTAGAGTCACTCTAGGTGGCTCCCTCATAGCCATTGGTGATGAGCTTATCACTCGTCCCCCCGCTTGGGACGAAATGAAGAAGAGAAGAGGGCAACTGATTTTAGCAGATATAGAGATTAGTCAGACGTGAGTGGGAGCCTTTGTGGATAGTGGCTCCACGCATAGTTTTATTATCATGAGAGGACAAAGGAAGTTGCACTTAGGAATGAAGGTGCGGAAGTTGAGTGAGCTGGTAGTGAGTAGATTGGCCGATAATCGCGAGATCCTTGTGGAGGAGTACGTTGAGGGGATCACAACATACTTCCGGTTAGAGGAGGGAAAGAAGGTGGAGTAGATTTGTATTCCCTTACCAACTTAATGGAGGACATCCTTCCTTTTGATTGGATTTTAGGGACAGACTGGGGAGAAGCAGCCATGGCTGCCCAGCCCCACCAGGGGCAATAAAAAGATGAGGTTGTACCATTGGTCCATTTTAGAGTCCCATTTCTCTTTTTGCTGTATGGTGCCGCTGCGTTCGCCCGACACGTGTCAAAAGAGAAGTTGGAAGATCAGGTCTCTGTGGTCTATGTTAAACCGGTAAGCGAAGAGAGTAAGGTTGAAGACAAGACACCGCCCCAAGTGGGGAACCTGCTGCAAAGTTTGCTGATGTGGGAGAAGGCCCAACCGGAGTTGTAGAGCGAGATATCAAGCACCGGATTGAGATAGAGCCCAATAGCAAGATTCCCGGGTTATAGAATGTCTCCAAAGGAATTGGACGAACTGCACAGGCAGCTAAAGCTAAATAAGCTGATTGAGATGTAGATGGAGAACACCAAGATGGAGAACCCCACACACGTTGATAGAGTTGTGGTCGTTCTTAGGATTGGCCAACTAGTACCGAAAGTTTGTTTGTAACTTCACTTCTATTGCTGCTCCTTTGTGCAGGTTGTTGGGGAAGAAAACCGTTTGGAATTGGGATAAGGACTGTAGATCAACCGTCAAAAAAGTTGAAGAAGTCACTCATCAACTATCCGCTCCTCCTGACCGTTTGTTGTGATTACCGATGCTAGCCAGTATGACATTGGTGTTATTCTCCAATAGAATGATGGGGATGGTTACAGGCCGGTTGAGTTTATGTTTTGCAGGCTCCCGAGTGACAAGGTAGAAACCTCGAGTTATGAGCGTGAGCTCTTTGCCCTTCGACAGGCTCTAGACCATTGGCAACATTACGTGCTAGGGCGATACTTCAAGGTATATTCATATCATGGAACTTTATGTTGGTTGAAGGTCGAGGCCCGGATGACGCCTAAGTTGACTAGGTGGGCGGGGGAAATTGATCGGTTTGATTTTGAGTTGAAACCAATCAAGGGTAAGTACAACGTTGTCGTTGATGCATTGAGCAAACGTGTAAATTACTTTGGTGCAATTGTTACTTGCCTAGATGCTGGCACCGATCGACAACAAAAGATCAAGGCTGCATACGCCGATGATCTCGTGTATAGTACGTTGATAAAGAAGGTATAGACCACACCTCAAGAAGTGCCTGATTTCAGAAGGGCCGATGGATTGCTGTTGGAGAAGACTGATGTGCATGATAGGCTTTGCATACCGTGTAGTGAAGAGGCATGCAGTCTGATCGTAGGGGAATGCCATGATATTGAAGGCCACTTTGGTTGGGGGAAGACCTCTGGTAGCCTACTCAGATCCTACACGTGGCCAGGCATGAAGCATGATTGCCTCACCTACATCCAAGGCTGCCAAGCATGTCAGAGGAACAAGAGTTTTACACAGCCTCCCCGTGGACTGTTGAAGCCCCTACCTATCCCATTCGTCCGCGATGAAGTTGTATCTATCGATTTTGTGGACACTAAGGTCAAGAGTAGTAGTGGGAAGAGTCAGGTTATGTACCACTACCTGCTGAACGAAGACAAATGTGGTCATCAAAGAGTTCTTTAACCACTGGGTCAAGGATTATGGTCATCCGTCGAGTATCGACAGAGATCGAGACACCCGGTTTATAGGGGAACAATGGCATCAACTAATGACACTCTACGAATCTAAGTTAGCTATGTTATTTGGAGGCCATCCCGAGATAAATGGCTAGGCCGAGCAAATGAATAAGATTCTACAAAAGTACTGCATATGTACATTAGATTAGACCAGGTAGATCGGGATGAGCATCTTCCCGAAGTTGCTAGAGCATATAACAATTTGGTTCACCTAGCTGCCTTGCGGATCCTGAATGAGCCGCATAGAGGCTAGAGTCCCCGAGGCCCCTTAGACTGCTTGAATCCGGATCAGATCCAAAGGTTGTCACTTGGGATACGTGAGTTTGCCATTCAGTATGAAAAGGATGTGCAACGTGTGGTTGAGAACATTCGGAAGGCCCAACATCAGATGATGGAACAAGTGAACAAATCACAATTTGCGATAGGTAACCTTGTCTAGGTCAAGTCTAAACAGTTTATCCCCGAGGACGGGATTTCGCAGAAGTTGCTACCTGCCTACAAAGGGTCGTGGGGAGTGCTAAATGTGAAAGGTGACGTAGATGGACCGTCATACACCATGGAGATTCCACCCCATTTGCATACCTATCCTGTTTTTCATGCTTCTAAGCTTCTTCCCTGTATGACTAATGATGCCTTTCCCTCATACAAATGTATGATTCGACTTGATATGGTTGAAAGACATGATCTGGCGAAAATTGAAATTGAGGATACCCTTCGTGCAGGTCATAGAGGGAGACCGCAAAGACAATATAAGGTCATATATGCTTATTAGGATCCCAACGAAGATCGCTGGTTCACCATGGATAAGTTCGTTTAGACAGCTCCACATATAGTGTCATACTACGAGCGAGCACAAAGAGGGTTGAACGTCTAATGATGGTTTAAATGCTGACTTTTTTCGAAGGACCGCGAAATTAGGTCGGCGAGAGTGAATGGATTCACGCTGCAAGATTTTCGAGTCCCGGTTACAGGGTCTTGAATCATCCCAGTCCAAGGCCCCATAGATTACAACCTTAGGGCTTGTAGGATTAGGCATCGGAGATTGGTAGTCCACAATACCGTACAACACCTATAGGAGCACGTCACTTCCGCGAAAGTCCAGTTTTGCAGCAGCCTCACTAAAAGGTTCATGTTGCTCGGTAACCCAACTGGCATGCTGCAACTGTCTGATACCCCACATACGGAAAATGACTAAAGTAGGCCTCACATGGATATTCAGACCCACCTTCACTTTAGTGCGGGCAGAATGCTTGCTGGGGGCTACAGGCCATGTCTGTGAAGGCCCCGTGAGGGCCCGGTCCTCGCATTCCATCCCCTTAGCTTCGAAACTCCACTAAGATGCTTCTCCGTTCATATTCAGCCATGATCTGAGGTGTTGTTCTGACAAGCGTCTCTCTTGTGAACCATCGATATTCCTTTATATCCGTATGATGCCGGAATCTGATTCGGTACTCCCTTGTAGGTTTGGTCGGTCTTCCCCTGCCCACAAACTTGGGAACAGGCAAGTCTCTATGTTCCAAAATGTCATCGACGTCCATGGTTGGGGGAAGCATTGATCTCCTTTATGGGCATTGATCTGTCCCAGCGAAAGGTGCAAGCTGAAGCGTGAAATACAGGGTAAGTGTGTAGATGACCAGGGATTCCTATGACGTACGTGGGACAATCCATATCACTACCCACAATATCTAGGACTTCCCATGGACCGAAATACTGCGGCATTAGCTTTCTAGAGATTTCGAACTCTTCTCCCGACTCGTTAGGCCCTTAACCATACATATTCCCCACCTGAAATGTGGATTGTCGTCTGTGTTTATTCTCGGAGGCAATCATTGTCTCTTGATATTTTGTGTTGATAAACTTACTAAAGATGACTATATCGTACAGGTAAACGACGATGAACTTATTTGAGTAGTCATGAAAGACCCTATTCATGGAATGCTGGAATGTCCACGGTGCATTTGCCCAAAGGCATCACCACAAACTCGTACACACTGTACCTGGTCTGAAATGCGGGCGCATTGCAAAGGCCAAAAGGCATCACCACAAACTCGTACACACCGTACCTGGTCTAGAATGTGGTGTTTGCTGATTCTCCGGTCTAATGGCAATTTGATGGTAGTTGAACTTAGATCTGCGGGGTAGAGGCTTGGTGTTCTTAACGGTGACGACATTGAGGCCTCTATGGTCAACGCACATCCTTAATGATCCCCCCTTTCTCGAACAAATAGTACTAGGCCGAATCCAACCCTTCTCTGTGAGCCCTTTCAATTGCCGTCGGTGAGCCCTTTCAATTGTCGTCGGAGTTCGTCCAACTTGGTCGGGGCCATCCTATA